CTACTAATACAAGTTTGTATTTGTATGCGTGCTAATTTTTTTTAATTTTCAGCTGTGTCTGTTCCGCCACATTAGATTTTGTAAAAAATATATTTGTATAATAGATGATCAAACGACCTTCTTGAAGTGAAGTTCGATCACTATTATGTGAGTCACTTCATTCGAAGATATAATATTTAACCAGGTAGTTGCCTTAACTTGCTAGGCAACACTGCACGGTTTTTAGAGAAAAAAAAATGTTTTGACGTTGACACTCCCTACCAGGCATCAAGCGCCATTTTCTATCCTCATTCCTGTTAGAGTGGGAAGCAAAATTTATTTGGGAGTTTCAGAATCTTTACTTCTGATATGACGATGTCAAGGGAGGGACCCTCCCTCCCTCGAATGAAGCGACTCACATAATAGTGATCGAACTTCACTTCAAGAAATTCGTTTGATCATCTATTATATTTCGTCGCTTCATTCTCGATATAATATTTAACCAGATGGTTTTAGAGTATTTAGTTTTGCTTCTAGTTGATTTTATGTAAATTAAAAACCAGAGGCTTCATCGATAACTATGTTATATTCTTATTAAAAATATATAATGATGAACATATAACGGTTTTTCTCCAGAGATCACAATCATAACAATTTTTAAATCGTATAATCAATTAATAATTTTATAAATAAAGATGATTATTATTATTATAATTATCATATAATAGTATAATTTACCGTTTTATTATGTTGTAAGCAAATGGTTCTTGCGAACGTGTGTTCGTCGTCAGTAAGTATTAGTCTATTATAAAATCTAATAAAGGATGTGAGATGTCGGAGTCCAACTCACAGCCTTGCGTATGAGCTCTATCTATACTTCAGCCTCGCGCGCGGCCGGCGTGGAGGCGTACGGCGTGCTATGCGCACCGAAAACTGCTGTGACCACACCCACCGCGTCGCATCCAACACCTGGCATAGACATCGGCTCACGGTCTGACTCGTGTCTACTCCGTGGGGAGTTCTGTGTGTCAGCAAGAGCGTTCCCTGACGTCCAGTTGTCTTATTTTGTGTTGCCAAAATATAATGTTTGAAAACTGCGACAAGGCAAATACTTGGATCCTCTCTAAAATATGGAAAATTTAATGTGGCCTGTACGCGACCAGGTGCAGACTTTTTGATTAAATCAGGTATTGCAATTTTAATCGGAATATCTGATACTTGTATGTTTTTCATTTTAATCAATGCCAGTTTGTACGCGGTGTGCAGTACAAAGTGCAAGTAAAACAACATGTTTTTTCGTAAGTTTTTCAAGAGGAAGTTCTGGTTAATGTTGAGGGGTGAATGGAGCCTCCCCGCACTTCATATCATTTCTTTCCTGTACGTACAGAATAAGTTCATTGAGTTTTAGCTACAACTTCGTAACCGTACACACATACATAGATGTCACTCTTTGCGTTAACTATTTGTTGAGCAGTGTGTGACTAAACAAGTTTAGATTATGATATATTATTGTGAATCATATTGCATCCCTTTAACTGATGTCAGCACGAAATAATTACTCACTAAAATCTGTATTAACACGCACCTTATTTGAAGACACTTAACCTACATAGCTATCGTTACGTAAGTTGTGCGAAATACTGGTCGAACGAACCTATTGACAAAGACAGATACCGTATGTGATCGTGTCGCTGTAATTTTATATATTGTATGATAATTTGTCCACACGAGAGGGGCTAATCTAACTATATTAACTGCCGCCTTGACCGAACGGTTACGATATTGCTCTGCCACGAAGAGGTCCCGGGTTCGATTCGTGAGTTTGGGTGTACTCTGTGTCCTCGAAATTCAGTGGGATCGAAGGATTTTTTTCTTTTTGTAATATCAAAGCACAGGACGAATAAGTCGTGCGCCTGATGGTATGCTACACGCCTGTCCATTACAGTTGCAATGCTACTCATAGCTTTAAATCGCAAAGATCTGAGGGGCACTGCCACTGCGCCCGTCACCCTGAGACATAAGTTGACATAACCCATGTGCCTGTAATTTCACCAGCACCTTTACCCTTCAAAACTGGAAAGCAGTAATGTCAAATTACTTCTTGGCGACAGAAATAGATAAGGTGGTAGTATTTCCTTGGATGAACTGTTTTACAAGGAGCTCTACTGCTGCAAAATCTATATCTACCCGTGTTTTTCTGTGTGTAGTGAAAACTATAAATTTGAAAGCAATAAGTACCCTCGCTGCTATTAGGTAAAGTCAAAGTCAAAGTCAAAGACCATTTATTTCATAGGTAAAATAAATTTACACTTGAAAACGTCACATTTAAGCTACTGCTCGTTCACTACGCTGACCTCCCTGAGAAGAACGAACAAGAAACTCTAGGGATTGCTCTTTTCAAATAAACTTAAATGCTATGGAATACACTTTGAATCAAATTTGTGTGGATTCTGGAGCCATATCGTCTTTCCATACATCTTTATCTAACACGTAGTCTTCAATTTTGTAATATGATTTTTCGATCAAAATATTTTTAATGTAGTTTTTAAACTTAGGAAATAACAAAACTTAATATATGCACCGGAATCTTATTGTAAAAACGTATACAGTTCCCCATAAAAGAGTTGTTTACCTTGGTTAAACGAAATCGTGGTACCATGAGTTTGGACTTAGCTCTAAGGTTAATATTATGGATATCTTCTTTCTTATTGAAATTATGTATATTTTTACGGGCATATAAAATATTTGAGTAAATGTACTGTGATGCCACAGTCATGATACCAGTCTCCTTAAACTTTTCTCTGAGAGAAACCCGAGTGCTTCGACGGTACACAGAACGAATCGCTCGTTTTTGCAATACAAATATGGTTTGAATATCTGCTGCTTTACCCCACATGAGAATCCCGTAGGACATTATACTATGGAAATAACTAAAGTAAACAAGAATATGACGTCAATACTGCAATATAATTAACAATGATTCTTGTTTATTGAAGAATAATGACAAATATTTTCATGGGATAAACAATAGAAATAGATTGTTAATTTACATATCCCACCGAAACAAAAATTCAAGATTTCTTGACCGATGTTGATGAGACGAAAGAAATGTGTCAGAATCATAGCAAGTGGAAGGCAGTGGTCTCTGCCTATCCCGTTGAAAAAAAAGCAGTGAAGTTTATGTATTTATGTTGTATAATATTTTATTGTTCAGTAAACAAGAAGTGATTTAGATTTAGAAGCAGTAGATCTCCTCGAGAAAGTGTTCGTCCGCCTTACCTATTTCTGCCACCAAGTAGTATAATGTGCGTATTGAGACTTGTTAACTTATGTCTCAGGGTGACGGGCGCAGTGGCAGTGCCCCTCAGATCTTTGTGATTTACAGCTCTGAATGGCACTACAACTGTTATGGACAGGTGTGTAGCTTACTACCATGCGCACGATTTATTGGTCCCGTCACTTGATATTATGAAAAAAAGCCTATATATTATCCCCACTGCTGGGTACAGGCTTCCTCCCACAATAAGAGGGTTTGAGCTGTAGTTCCCACGCGGGCCCAATGCGGGTTGGGAACTTCACACACATTATTAAATTGCTCTACAGATGTGTGTACCTTTTCGGTAAAATTTCTGCTCATGGTAAAATTTAAATTAAATATGGCACATAAATTCCGAAAAACTCAAGAGGTAACCTACACCGCTAACCCTACGGTCTGTTTGATAATGAGAGAGAGGAAGGGTCAAACGATTAGGTTACTACGGCATATATCAACTATAAAAGGAAAAATAAACACATTTTTGTCACAGCAGCGAAAGGGCGCTGGCCCAGCATATGCCTAAGGCGTTGGTTTTCAGTCAGAACCAACGAAAGGGACTAAATATAAAAGTTAAAATATACGAACCGACTGTGTAACCAATTTCACAACTAACTTGGTGATTAAAAAAGCATCTAAACCACGAAAGGTAACTGCTTCATAGAACTCACTTTCAGTCTTTTAACCCACCACAAACGGTGGGTTCGCCCCACTGTATTTGGTGAGTTTGGTTAACGCTTTTGATAGGCTAATGCTTGGTTGGTGGCAATTCTTTAAAAAGGAATTGAGATACTTTTAAATGTTATTATTGCTAAATTCAAACACAGATATGATATCAATTAGACATTAATCCAATTGTAATTTTTTAAATATAATTAAGATGAAAAATCCTTTCAATTATAATAAGTTCGAATCTTTTACGTACTGAAAATATGGCGAAATTCGTTACAAGTACTAATTAAATTCGTTACGCTAGCAGGACTATGAATGGAATTATTCCTTACAATAATAATGCAATAAAGTGTAAATAGCGCATCTAAAATACCTATTCGATATGTATAATGTAATAAAATATGTATAACGCGAATATAAATAAGTGTAGCTGAAAAATTGTACATGAGTCATCGAATGAAACTCCTTCATCAATCGTCTGACTTAGTTTCCGTTCTACGTAGAACTGGCAAATGGTTTGAATCGCATGATTTGTTCTATTGTTCTACGAGATCGTAATACGTGCAATAGTAAAAAGAATCTTTCAGCTTATACGACCACCCATTGTGTTGTTTAATCACACGTAGTTTATATTTAAAACTTCGTATATTTTCGTCAATGTGATTCCAGATACAAATGACGTCGTCCTGCAGGCCTGTGCGCGGTGCATTCAATAACAACTTAATGACTTGTCTATTCATTTCAATTATCAATCAAATAGTTTTTTATTATCATTTCACATGACAATAATTGACTAATTCGGTAGGTACCGCGCAGCTACCTCAGGAACCGACTCAGTTAAGCGGTAGGCCTGTAGTAACTTTTATAACATACATAAATACGGTCACGTCTTCCACTAAAATAGGTGCAGCATTATTACTCCCAACGAGGAATTCATAAAGTGGACGTGTTCACTCAGTCCACAGTGTCGTCACACGTTGATAAAAGGACCGCTCATTTGCCCTTAGATTATAAACAATTTGAAACAAATACTTACGGTTCCTGTCTGGTGCAAACGTTGGGTCCTTCGAGCAGCGCGCTGGCAGCGGCTACCACAGCCAGGAAGGCACCAACCGTCGTCCACATCGCGACTCGTGCACAACACTCACCACTGGTTCACGAGCACGGTAACTCCATAACAACTCTATTGTTCCATACGCAAACAACCTATGCCACTTTTTTTTCTCACTATCGTAACTTTGCATTTACCTGAAACGAACAATTATTGAATCAATTACATGTGTTATGTTATTTTTTCCTACTATAAAGTGATGTTTATAATATTATACACTTTCATAATACTGTATAAAAGGCGCTTATAATTTAATTAATAATATTCGAAGAGGAAAAAATGCTTTTAATATGTCCACTGACAAGGTAGTGTAATAATTAGAGTTACAAGGAATACCTATTTGGTTACTTTTCGGAATTCGGCTTATTCGGTCTGTTTTTTGCTTTGAATATCTAAAAACAGCAGGAAGACATAAATAGCACAGTAAATTATCATATAACTAATATTATTACTGATTAGAGGCACTGCACAATGGAGGAATTATAACGGAATTAAGTTATTGGTTCAAGAAATAAAAAAGGTAATAAGCAATTACTTTCTTCTTTATGGTGTCATCATAAATGTAAATTATAAATTTGAAAATTATTATTACCTTTTTTTATTTCATTGTACTAAATTTATTTATCAAACTGTGGTATTTTTTTTGCCAATTTTCGTACGTATTTTAATCCGGCCGATAGTTTGGCCGAATATTCAGTTATTTGTTACAACACTATGTAACAGATCACACCTTTCTAAGATCCCTTCTGATACGCGCGGAAACTTTTAAGTTAACTATTTCGTTCATTTTTAATGAAGACTGCAGTGGTCGCCTACTATGGTAGGTGTATGTTGGACAATATTTAACTTTAAACAATTTCTAGATAACACAGCAAACTTACTCAAGTAACATTGTTCGGACTTGAGCCAATAACAAGTTAAGGAGGTCATCATTTAGTTTGAACTATGATCATCTCAAAATACTTCTTAACAGCGACAAATAGAATTTTAAAATTATTATCCTTCGGAAAGGAAATATAGATAAACCCAAGTGTCCACAATTGGTTCTCATAGCCATAAGTCATCATATTTGTATCTATACATTGTGAAATGCAATAATGTTACTGATTATTGAAATATGCGAAAGAAACGTGTCGCACAATTATTCTAACGAAATCAATAATGTATAAAGGTCATAATTTAACTTTTAATATGGAACTCAAAACTCAAACTCAAAATAATCTTTATTTCATAGGTAAGCATTATTACACTTGAAATCGTCACAATGGTTAAACTCTACCGCTCATTCGTAAGGCAGATTCCCCTGAGAAGAATGAGCAAGAAACTCTAGGGGTTGCTCTTTGTAAATAGCATTTACAATATTTTTTTATTTTTATTTGAAACATCAGAGATCGAGACTACCTCCATGAGCTAAACGGGTTACTACCACGGATTTTTGTCATCCAAGTACGCAGAAGTTGTATAATAACCTTTACCACAATTGGCGCATTCAAACGTAATTTTAAATTGTATTTAATAGACAAGCAAAAAAGAAATTTGTGACAAATAAAGGCAAGCACACACAATCAGTGAACGAAAATGAAGCTAGTAGAAATGTTAATTATCGTAGGTTGGTAACTTTGTAATAGTAGAACTTTAATAATCTAATAGATATTAAATATTTATTTATATTTATTTATTTTGATTCGCATATTTATATATTTTGTGTTAGTTGTTTGATTTGATATTTTATTTTGTTGTTGTATGTCGGTGGCGTCCGCTCATCTATTTGGTCACCACAGAAAATCAGCGTCGGGTTGTTCTGCATGCACAACCCGGCAAATGCTGAGTGGCGACCATTTTGGATCTCAATGTTTAGTTATAATTTAAGATTTACATTGTACATATTTGTTAAATGAGACCAAATAAATATTGTTTCTTTCTTTCTTTCTTTCTTTCTTTTAGTATAAAGTTTTTGTTTCACTATAGTTTTAAACCTCGTGAAAGGCAAATTTTGTATATCAACCGGAATCTTGTTATAGAAGCGTATACATTGCCCCTTAAATGATTTTTTGACTTTGTGAAGACGACTATCAAGAAAAGCTAGTTTATTTCTATTCCTCGTATTAATGTTATGTCTGTCACTATTTTTCAAATTATTATTCCTTTTAACATAAATTACATTTTCATAAATGTACTGTGAGGCT